AAACACATTGGTTTTAAAAAAAAGTATGCAGTTGCATGTTGCAAACTACATATTTTTTCTTGAAAGCAACTATGTGTTTTCTTTATACCAATTGATTCGTCTCATTATTTTATGCATAAAAGTATTAAGGTAAGATTCCCAAAAATTGAATGTTTTACAAGATATTTTGTATTTTATGTCAAAATACTGTAATTTACAAGCCTCATAACTCGAAAAGTACTTAATGAAAAATAACTTCATTATAGTGTTTTGAAAAGCTCTTGACACCAGCTATTAGATTTTGGAATAAAAAATAGAGGTTTTCATTTAAAAAAATTACTCTGACCTTCAAATGACCTTCAAGGTCACGGTCAAGGTCAAATCCAAGGTCACCATTGAAAAGCCAGAGAAATTTCCTAAAACTTTTGTATTTAACATTTTTTCGTAAAATGCCTTCCTCAAAACTTATTCGGGGGTTTCCATACTTTTGCCTCACCCTGTATATATATATTCCTAAAAACCTGTGTCTATCGTCATTTTTATACCCACAGTTTCAGAAGTGGAATACGCGTGCCCTAAGAAAAACGCGTCCTGTGTTACGTGTACGAGGAACAATTGTTCTCTGCGTGAAAGCAAGTACGCGACGAATTAATACCTTGCGAGTAACCGTTTGCTGTGTGGTACGAGGTGAGCAAACGTGCTGTGTGTTAAATTGCTCGAGACCGCGAGCGTTAAAGATAGTGTCGCTGTGGGATTGTATAATAATGTGAATCATTAGTGATTCTGTTCGTGATTGTCGATAAAATAGTGAACGTAATGAATCCTTCGGCCTGCAGTATCGCGCAATTGAAGGAATTTCTGCGAGAAAGGAACCTTCCAACAACGGATAACAAGACCGATTTAATATTGCGGCTGAAGGAAAACGACCCGGGTATGTGGGAGGATGAGCGTCAGGACACCAGTGCAGAAGGACCACAAGATCTCGACGACGTTACAAACGCAGAAATGCAAAGAAGTGTGACGCGTGAGGAAGACTCTGTCGTAAACCGCGAGTTCGAACTCATTAGACGCGAAAGAGATCTGCTTCGGCGTGAACTTGAGTTAGTAAGACGCGAAGTCGAGCTGAGGGCCGATACGTCGGTTGCCAGTGTTAGAAGCCCTGTCATAAGTGAGAGTGGGACCAACAACGTGAAGGGACTCAAGGATCTGCTGAATGAATTCGAGTAACGCTTTCCGGAATTGGAAGCCGCAAGTCGAACTGCTGCGAGACGCATATAATCTCGACGACAACGCTATGAGGATGTTAATTAGTTCGAGATTAAAAGGAAAAGCCTTGAATTGGTTTCACTCTAAGTCCGAACACATCACGTTAAGTGCAACAGATCTTTTAGAAGAGATAAGACGAATGTTCGATCATCGGTCGAATAAATTGGCCCTGAGAAAAGAATTCGAACGACGAACGTGGAAACGGGAAAAACTTTTAATGAGTAATACCATGACAAAATAATCATTGCAAATCGGAGATCGATAGAAGCAGATCAAATTATCGATTATGTTATGCGACGTGAACTAGCCTCGGAATCACGCCAGATCCGAGGGAGCACGCCCAATGGAAATCGGTAACTCGCGGGATCGGCAATAAATGCTCGATTCGGTAACTTACGGTATCGGAAACAGATGCTTGATTCGGTAACTCGCGGTACTCCACGCTCGTCGGGAGCAAGGTAACTCGCGAAATCGGCAATAACTGCACGATTCGGTAACTCGCGGTACTCCACGAAATTCAGGAGCAAGGTAACTCGCGAAATCGGTAACCGGAAATGAGCGCCAGGTGCGAGTAATCGCACCGCGGTATCGGTAACTTTACAGTTCTCAAAATTGCTCGGCCGCTCCCGCTCAGTATATGACAGAGGGGCGCAGTTCTTTCATTTAACGTTAGATATCTGGAGTGAGAGGCTAACGCAAGGACAACTCAATAATTAAAATTTGACAATGAT